AGAAGACGATTCTATTATTTATTATTATGTTACACCAGATGACGTCACAGGACAGTCCAACATTTTAGGGGATGGTAAGACAGAGTTTCCTGGCTTGTTGGTGCTTTTAAAGATCCAAAAACATCTAGAACTGGCCCCAACACCAACGCACTTACGTTCCACGAGAGAGTGCAACCTAGGTCCCAAGAATCTATACAGCCTAGGTCTCACAACTGCGTGCAGCTTATCTACCAACACCTAAATTATTAGACTGTTCCATGACCTATGGATTTTCCCTGTTTTGGGTAGGATATTAATAAAGCACAGAAGATTCTTGTTCTTAAAGTCCATGCCATGTGGCGTTGGTAGTCATGTCAGTCAACAACCTTCTTTCTCGTGTACTTTCAATCAATTCTGACACCGAAGACCCTCCATGCCATGATGTCAAACTGTCCAGCGTCCGCTCTCTGTCTCCCTCTGCTTCTCCTACACTCCAACTTTCCTACCATCATGACCAAAAAACGTAGATTGTCTCTTTCTGGTGTGGGCAGTCAGTTCTCTTTGTGAGTCCGTTTCTTTTAGGACGTCTTCATTGAAAAAGAAGATTTGCCAGACGATCAAGATAACAGCCGTCCATGTTAATTAAATCAGTATAATTTCAATAAATTCAAACAGGCTGTTCTAGAACACTACGACAAGACTTACACCACACTGCAAAGCAATTTCTTCTGAGAAGCACCAAAATCGTGATGGAATATTGCCAGACGATGCAGAGTTACTTACTTGCAAAGAAGCCACAGTTGAGAGCAGGAGAACAAGACGTCTTCGTTCCATGATCGCTGAAATTGTGAGAATGTCATATGATCATCCAACAAGTCACGTGCTATGCTGATACATATTGAAACTTCAGGTCAAATAAAATATATGCCAAACGGTTAACAATATTCATTGTGCTTCTTGAATTGTTCATAAAACGTTTATTTTATAATTAGTGATTTATAATGTTAAGTATTTAAATTATTTAATACACTTCAGCATATCTAAAAGAAATGAATTAGTTTGAGAAGGGAAAATGTATACCATTATTTTATTGTTTGCCAAACTGGCAAGTTTGTGAATCACATAATATACCAGCTCTTAATGGACACGTCTAAATCAGTTAGAATCACATGTCTTGAAGTCATTAGAAATTCATTTACATTTTCTCTTTTTAGTTTTAATCAATTTTTTTTTACAATCACAGTCTTCATTAGAAATTCAATTTTCCTTTTAGTTGTAATCTAAAACAAGAGAGAGAGAGAGAGAGAGAGAGAGAGAGAGAGAGAGAGAGAGAGAGAGAGAGAGAGAGAGACAGAGACAGACAGAGACAGACAGAGACAGAGACGTCTATACTATGGACTGTACAAGTGTCGAGATACCACAACGTTACCAAAGTTGAATCAATTTCCGTCCCAATTTGGGATGCAATTTCCGTTATTTTAAAACCACACCCCGGCTGTAGTAACGATTGAACGGAGTTTCTAGGACTTTTCCTGGTCTGAATGGTGGCACTTTGTGTCACTGGATGTTGGTCGCTCCTTTTACAGTCCTGTAGGCGTCAAACGAAACATACAATGCTAATGGTATATGTTAACAAACATCCATAAAAATGGGATCATTCTTAAAAAGTTACCTGTACTCAAGTGCGGATGGCACAAAGAATATTTTTCTCTTCTCATTTTTTTCCGTTCTTCACAGACCCCCCCCCCCCCTTTCCTCTCCCCCCCCCCACCCTAACTGAGATCCAGCTTTGATCCATATAACACTATGTTGCTCTATCTTGTTGCTAAGGCATGCTAGATGTTCTTCCCCATTTTGCACTCTCTTGTTCAGTAGTTTTCAACTTTTGGTTACCCTCCCCCACCCCCTCCTTTTTTTTTTTTTTTTTTTTTCGTACTTTACAAAAATATGTTCAAACAGAGAAGGGTGAAAAGAGCAATCTCTGTTAACAATTAACAAGAACTTGCAAAGAAAATCATAAAGTGTCAAATAACATATAAGAAACTATCACTAAAAAGTCAGTAATTTAGTGTCAAATACAATGTGATGGTTGACACTGTTTTGTCTTGATGCTGTTATCGTTTGCTCTGATGTTTGACAATTCGCAATGTGGACCATTCTTCGCACTAAGCTCGTGAAAAAACGTCTTTAGCGTTTTTGTTTTATACACAGTTTACAATTATTTATCTTCAATCAATCAGGCACCGTCTGCACAGTGAAGGTTGGCTGCAATGGATCTCCAACACGCTTTGTCTCTTGTCCTAGTTGTACACTCTCTCAGACTGATGCCCGTCCATCTCTTGATGCTGTCCTCCCACTTGTATCGTTTCCCAACTAATGCTTTCTTGCCTTCGACTGTTGCCTTCCGCGTTAGCGCAGTCGATATGAGACTCGCTTTCAAATCCAGCTACGACTCGCTACAGCCCACGACCGGTGTTCGAGACCGGACGGTTCCAGGGGTTCACCCAGCCTCTAGGTAATGGATGCCAGAGTTAACACTGATATAAATGAAGGAACGTTGCTGAAGCGACACAGGTTGAGAGTCGCTTATAAGCTGTCCGTACTGGTGGCAGAGCACTTATGGTTTATAACTGTGTGCAATGACTCTGGTTCACATCTCCCGACTTTGCTTTTACATTTTTGCCCTCAGTATGGGTTTTTTAAGTGTGTTATGTCTTTTAATGTGGCTGAAGTATTTCAGTTGTCTCACTCTTATATATATATATATAATATATATATATATATATATATATATATATATATATATATATATATATATATATATATATATATATATATATATATATATATATATATATGGGCACATGGATAACATCAGATGGAAGATGCATAACTGAAAAAAAGAAACAGAATTGGACAGGCACAAACTGCATTTTATAAAATGAAAAACATCTTCTGCAATATATCCTTGTCATTGAGAGTTAGAAAAAGAATTCTTGCTTGCTACATACATCCAGTTTTAACATAAGGATGTGAATCCTGGACAATCGGTAGGCAGGCCAAACAATTTTTAGATGCCTCAGAAATCTGGTTTTACAGAAGAATGCTTAGAATACCTTGGACAGCCAAAAAGAGCAACCAAGAGGTTTTAAAAGAGGCGGGAGCCCGAAGACAACCTATCACTGACATCAGAAGGAGACAGTCATCATTTTTCGTCCATGTTATGAAAAGAGGGAAAATAGAACATGCTGTGACCACTGGAAAGATCTGTGGAAGGAGAGATAGAGGAAGACAACGAGAGAAGATGCTTGACAGTCTTGTTGCATGGTATGGAGGTGTGTCGGCACACGAACTGATACATGCTGCAGGAGATCGCAGATTATGGAGAGGCATGATCGCTGTAATAAACCTTGGCTTGACTTGGATTGCACTTTGGCTTACTACCTATTGGCTTTCGCCACGGCTCACTCTCTGGATGTTTACTGCTACAAAACTTTCACTGCTTTAACGTCTAGGGTTGACAACACAAACGCCGCTCAGCTTCTTGGTACATACTGTCAGTTTATTCGGTCATATTTGTTTCACATGTTTCCACAATTAATTATACTTCTCTCGCACGCAACATGTTTAAACACTAGTACCTCGCACAATATTAAAACTACTCTCAGAAAATGCTACCGTCTTCTCTGACGTCTCATGATCGACTGACCACGAGGCTAGCTCGGACTTTCCCTCGCTTCCTCGACTAGGCACAAGTATCTCGTGCTGTCCCTTGGTGCACGGACTTTCTGCTTGCCACTATGTAATCGTGAGGACCATGCAAAGCAGGGTCATTACAATCGCCCACGCCAGTCGGCAAGGCACCTGATGATGATATATATATATATATATCTTTCACTAATTATGTTTTCATGTGCAGTCTTTCCAGAACCTCTATATTGGCCTGTTCTTGTTTCTACTCGATTTTCGAGTTGCTTGTTCATTGTCCAAGTATCTTTCTCTCTAGCGGGGGAGGAGTTGGAGAAGTGTTGCCAAAGGTGTTCCTACGCGCTATTTGACAAGCTGTTTTTAAAACTGAAAGGCAGACAAAGGGCATGCGGGGTTCATAGCAAAAGCGAACGGACGTCGCTTAATGCAGCATAGCCTGGCATATGATATCACAACGTCTAGTTTGAGAATGGAGGTGGAGGCAGTCACTGCTGCCTTCCGCTGCTTCAGAATCAGCTGTACACACATGTTGTAATTTTAACTGACTCACTGAGCGTGTTGAGAAAGGTTGGAACCAGTGTTGCCATTTTGGATGTTTTACATCCAAATTTAGATGTTTTCTCTTGCATTTAGATGGCGTTTTTGACGTTTAGATGGTAGATAATTTTCTAGATTTTTTTCATTCGGAGTGAATTTATCAAATCCAACCTAAGAAACAGGATGAAATTTGACCTCTCAAATGCTATCTTGACAATAAAATTTTGCCTGATTAGAGAAGGAAAAGGCTGTTACACTTATCAGCTCCCTGATTGGGTATTAAAAGAAATTGGAACAGCTAAAGCATACCAGAGTCATTTTGGATCTGAAGCTTCAACTTCATCATCCAAGCTAAGTTTATCCTGTTGATCTTGTAAGACAGTCTTCAGCAAGAACGAGGACATGATTCTATAGGGTAAGTCATATAAATTGCTATGTAATTTGTGACTCTTTCCATTTGGATGTTTTTTTCTAGATGTTTTCCACGCAAATTTAGATGTTTTCAGATATTTTTTGACTCCGTTTTGGATGTTTTTTGTCAAATAAAAGTGGCAACACTGGTTGGAACAGGCACAGAGCGGCAAGCATCGCTTCGGATATCCCGGCTAGCTAGAGTTCTTTGGATATTTTCTCCACGTTATGCCTGTGTGTTTGGAAAATAAGCAGGCAGATAGACTGGCCGGTTCTGCGCCACCTGATGGTGAACTGATGTATGACAAGCTAGATATTGTGGTGGGCCTTTGGGAGCGAGTGAACAGTGCCGAGGCACAAACAGATCATTACGGTCTGAGGAGAATGGCTCTGCGAGGAGTTAAAAGGAGATCTGCCCGACGCTCAACACTTAAAGTAAAGGCGAGACGGATATACAATCAGACAGTTACTGGTGCAATCGGAACTATATATATTTGCTTGCTGCTTAAGATAGGGACGGAGGGCTTACGGAAGTGTTTCGAGCGCTGTGATGTGGATTCTTAATTCAACCTTTAACATTCGTGCTAACAATATATACAAACATGCATACATATATAATAAACAAACAGGCAATGATTGGCACTCATAGAACGACGTAGAAAGATAGGACACTGTGACGAGCTGGTCTGGACAGCTGTTTCTGTCCTCTTAAAAAGTGCTTTGTTTAGATAATATTATTACTAAAGTTCTAAACATTTTCCTATTGCTTTTAATTAGCATAATAGCTCTGGACTAATTAAGAAATTTCTTACCCCTTTCCTAATGCTTCATTGTAGCAAAATTATAATTAAAGAGTTGAAAGGTAATAAAGGCGGAGAGTAGTGCAAGGGGTAACAAAGAGTAACTTCCCCCTTGGTAGGACTTCCCATCTTCCATTCTTTCTTTCCAGGCTCAATTGGGGGAGTCAAGATTTTGTTCTCCCCAAATTGACACAGTTCAGTTAGTTCTGTTGTCTTGTTGCCTGAGTTTGAATTCCCTGCCAGGGTTCCAGATTGTAATACAGGTGGGAGTCCAGAAGTAGATCCTAAGCTTAGCCGCAGATACCCGATTGTCCGGACTGGACTGGAAGATTCGGCCTGCCTGATGTGTTTCCGAAGCTGAGTCAGAAGCTGACAACA